CTTCAGTGCTTTACACCACAACTTTGGAGTGGGTGGAGAAAGTTGTTTCGTCCATGTGCATGTACATGTATATATTAAAATCTTTCGTATTTCAGTACATGTAGTTGTTACCCCATAGAACATGTTTTCGCCTTTTGAGTCCGAATCCCAAGACTTACGGGCTTATGCAATTGACCGCCTTAAGTCAACTGCTACGTTTGCAACACCACACACAGAAAGGTAAACATAGAGTATTTCCACGAGCGCTTTGGGCTCATAGTGTTGATGATAATAACAATGCGGTCATATGTTTATTCTCTGTAGAACAATTCACAGGCAGATCTTTCATAACCTTAAACTTCATCATCTCCCACACGGGTGTTTTTACAAGCACATTTTTTCCAGATTTAGTTATGACACAAAAGACAACAATTTAACGAATACAATTGCTTACTTTAAGAGCATACGTTTACAACGTGACCATTTAAAAAATTGGTTTCTTTTCTTTTCTTTTTTGTGCTTTTGTTCGTTTTTGATTCGTTGGTTTGTTTGTTTGTTGTTTAATTGTTTGTTTGTTGTTTGTTCTTTGACAACCTGCTAGAGGTGGTTCTGAAAAAGGCGATACATGTCAACTTATACTTCTAGTTCTTGAATCTTCTCAAAGTCATCCAATAGAGCTGCGCTTTCTTGTACTTCTAGGTCAACTTGTCAAAAGTTTCTGAGTCGTCAAACTGTTGTCTGAATAAACTGTCCCCATTCAGTTGAAATCCTTGTAGGCCTAATACAAGGGACACAGGGAATCCACACGCACCAGTCATAATATTCAGATGTAGAACCTCGACTCTTGTTTTCCTTCCTCCAAAATGCCACCATTCTTTAAAAGAAGAGCGACCTAAATCGGGCGTTGAATTGGTTACAGAACATTTGAAGACGTGTGTCCCCGAATGGCCTCATTCTGGCGCACTGTTCACGTAGCAATGTGATGAGGAGTCGTGAGCTGGTGTAATCTGCGGGGTCTGAGGACGTGAAAAGACAGAAAAAAATTTAATAAGATTCTTGTCAACTCCTTTACTACTTAGCCCAAGAAAAGCAGAACTGTCCAATTAGAGCAGTTGAAAAGGGTGTGGGCAGAATAGGACTAGATCTAGATCTACTATCTCATATTTTAAAGTCGAACCTTAATTTGTTCAGGTTGAGGTCTTATTTCTTTCTCATTTTGTATTTTTCGTTTTCAGTCGTCTGTCCTCCTATTTATCCGAGTGTAGAATGAACACGGTTGCTCAGATGAATGTGATTTATTTGTATGGGAGTGGTTTTTGTTTATTGTTGATCGATACAGTTTTTGTATACCCCTTTTTGAACAAAAATGATATCTCGGCACAACAGTCAATATATCGGTACTCTCATTAAACTCCCTTCTGGCGTTCTACGTGTGCAGTGTTTGGTCGTTTTCTAAGGAGCACGTTTTTGTTGTTGTTTTTTTTTTGTTTTTTTAACCTCCACTCTAAAACAAATCAATGACACGACAGATTTTAACATCCGGAATCCAAAAACCAGTTCTGTTTCGAACCCCGTCACTACATGGTGCAGTCTGTACATTGACAGCGTGTCGTGGGACCACTGGCAGGCCCGACTTCTTTCTAGATTTCTTTTTAAAAATCCTGTCTCTCCTCTTGTTTACCCAAGTGCAACACGAACAGCATTGCTCTGATGAACGACTTGGCTTTTTCTCCTTGAACCCAGACCAACAAAATACAAGTACAATGTACCGTGTGACCTTTATACTATACTTCTCTGCGTGACTCCTTGCTAATCAAAATTAAGAAATTGAGAAAAGAGAGAGGGGGCGTGATAGGGTTTGAGAGTGAGAGCGGGAGAGAGAGAGAGTAAACAAGAGGATGAAAGAGTAAGAGGGAGAGAGGAGAGATAGTAAGAGGGAGAGAGGAGAGAGAGAAAGAGAGAGAGAGAGAGAGAGAGAGAGAGAGAGAGAGAGAGAGAGAGAGAGAGACAGAGACAGAGACAGAGACAGAGACACAGAGAGAGAGAGAGAGAGAGGGGGGGGGGGGGGTGAAGGCGCGCTGTGACCTTTTTTATGTGCACGGTGTTCTCGTTTTTGTTTTTGTTGTTGCTGTTGCTGTTGCTGTTGCTTTTGCCGTCGCCGTCGTTGCTTCCTATTAATTTTGTTGTGAGTGACTGGATATAGGTGCATGTGCGTTTTAGTTAATACTATGCTATAGATGTATACTGTGGCTCATAGAAACTGATAAAAATACACGATCTCTTCTTGTCTTATGGAGTCTCAATAGAGTTAGCTGTTGCTTTGATCAGACCATATCGCGAAAACATTAGACAGTGGAAAACCCTACACGGACGGCGAGTAGCTGACGGGTGCTCTGATGTAGTTTGCTTCTTCTTTCATATCAAACATCTATCTTACTTATTTCTCCTTATTTTTTAATATTTTTGTTGTATGTTATTATCAGCTCGCAACGCCTTTAATCTAAGGCACATATGTGGCTTTATTGTGTTTGCAAGTGCCGTAAAACTCTTACAAAAAACAAGACAAAACACACTATCAGAGTGTCCAATAGAGTTGGTGGCTTCTTCGATCAAGCCATATTTTGAAAGCAGTAAATTATGTGGGGATCATAACACACATACACGGACACACATCATGCACTTACTGCTTCCTTTGGCCCGCATGTGCCTCTCTATCTCCGCCAATGTTGACTCCATATGCTTCAGTGTCAAGGACGGTAAACGAAAATTGGCCGGATCCAGATAACTGGGGCGCACAGCCCGTCCACCTATTGTCAGCTGCTGCTGACCCCTCGAACTTATCGCTGAGCGCCCAAACTTCTCTCTCGTTCGCTGACGTCCTCCTATACTTGGAGCCAACGCCCCAGTAAATGATGGCTGCGATGATTGTCTAGGAAGTAGATTCCTGGGAGTAAAAAAGTCATTCAAGGATGGTTGTTGGGCTCGGAAATTTTGTCTCTGAAAACCTCTGAAATTTCTGCAAAAAAAGTAAACGTTGATTGTGATTATATTGTATAATAGTTTTGCCACCTCACGTCCTAAATCGACCAAACTGTGTTAATATGAGCATAAATAATTTAAAATAAGACCATCGTGCAAATCAAAATCATTACCAATGGAGCATTTGAGAAAGCCAGTTACTCCCAATAGGTATAGCCTAGACACCAAATAAGATGGTCGGCAAAAAGATCCGTTGGAGAATTTATGGGAAGAGGCAGTTGGTGGGATGGGGGTGAAACATGTTTTGGATTTAGGACATTCAATAAAAATATGCTTGTATAAAGCCAAAGAAAAATGCACGTGCACGTGGTTCTGTTTGACAAGAAATACATTATATGATTAACCGCATATTCGCTTGAAAATGTGGTATCACCATTCACACACACACACACACACACACACATTA